CACCCTGATCCCTTCCCTTAACCAGGACGCGGGCACCCCGCGGGGCTCCAGCCCGGGCAAGGCGTGTAGCAGTGCCGGCCTCTGCGGGGCGTCTGGGGCGTGGGGGGGGCTCGTCCCTCCGGGGCGCGGGGGGGGGGGCATCTGGGGCATGGGGGACTCCTCCCATCCCCAGTGGTGTCCGGAATATGGGGGGCTCCTCCCTCCCGGGGGCATCTGGGGCGTGGAGGGCTCCTCCATCCCCTGTGGTATCCGGAAGGTGGGGGGCTCCTCCCATCCCGCGGGGCATCCGGGGAGTGGGGGGCTCGTCCCTCCCGGGGGCGTTTGGAGCTCCTCACATCCCCAGAGGTGTCTGGAATGTGGGGGGCTCCCATCCCACGGGGCATCTGAGGAGTGGGGGGCTCGTCCCTCCAGGGGGGAGTCTGGGGCGTGAGGGACTCCTCCCATCCCCAGTGGGGTCCGGAATGTGGGGGGTTCGTCCCATCCTGAGTGGTGTCAGCGGGCGTGGGGGGCTTGTCCCTCCCACGGGCCGCCCCTGCCCTACGCTGGGCCCTTGCGCCGGGCCCCGCACCTTTGAGGGTGGAGCGCTCCACCAAGACCGTGTGGACCTGCGGGTCCGACAGGAACTTGCGCATCTGCTCCAGGGCACTCTTCTCCTCCAGCGCCGCCTCGAGCGCGGCGGGCGCCTCGCCGCCATCCTCCAGCAGCAGCGGCACCAGCTTGCGCAGGTGCTTCTGCAGCACCGACACGTCGGCCACGTTCTGCACGGCCGACACCTCCAGGCCGGCCGAGCCGTCCTCGCCACCGCCGCCCCCGGGCTCCGACATGGCGCCGCGCTCGGGACCCGCAAGCAGCGCTGAGAAGGTGTCCGCGACCCCGCGAGAGACAGGAGCGAACGAGAGAGAGAGAGAGAGAGAGAGAGAGAGAGAGAGAGAGAGAAACGGGCGCCGGAAGTCGCACCGTCCGCTAGCCCACGGCCGACTGGGGTGAGCGGCGCCAGCTCCGCCCTTTAGGCAGCTGCCGCCCGCCGGCCCCGCCCGCCGGCCGCAGTCTCCGCAGCCACCGGCGCCCGCTCGCGGCTGGCTTCACGACGCCGCGCATGCGCTGGGTGCCTGTCGCCGCCGCGCGGCCTTCTGGAACTTGTAGTCCCGGCGCTGGGCGGGGCCCGAGTCTCCTCAGTGTCAGTCCTGCTGATGCGGACCTGGCTTGGCCTCCGGGGTGAAAGCGGCGTGCTGCGGAACCGCGTCTGCCTTGTTCACTGCTGTGGACGGTGGACGCAGCGAATAGCACACATCCCAAGAACGCCACAAATAGCTAACGAATGATGTGTGGATGAGAACCCAGATTTAACAGGCGCTCAGCTTGTGCCGGGTTTTGTTCCAAGCTCCTAGCGAGTGAAGGAATGAGTGCACATTAAGTACCGCAATGTAGGCCTGGTCCATGTCGCCCTATATATGCTTACGTACCTTATGTATACGGAGGTACATGAGAGTTTTTTCAGAGGGGGAGGGGTGGGGGGCCGTGCTGGTGGTCGCACTGCTTGGTAGAAGGGGACATTCCGGTGGAGTAACGGGCCTCTACCAGGACGGAGAGGCCTGAAGGCTGTGGCTGGGGCATTTACTGCAGGGCAGTGTGAAATTAAGCCAGGAATGACACGTGGACACAGACTCTGAAGGGACCTGGCTCCCAAAGACTAAATCAGGCCTCCCCCCAGGCAAGGATGCTGCGAGGGGCGCCGCCTATATGAGGATATGTGCTTATAGTAGTGATGCCCGGTAGCAGCCCTGAACTGGCACTGCCCTTCCGTGGGCTTCGGCATTTGGGACAGTAGAAAGCAAGGGCTGGGATGCTTGCTGGCTAAGGTTCCCCTTGTTCTATCCCACCCCAACCTCCCCTACACCACGACCACGTAAGGGCCAGAATCCAGGCGGCCCTCATTTGTGGTTTAGAGATGGCAGTTCCTTCTAAGGAGGTAGTAATTGGCCTTAGAAAGTTCAAACTCATAACTTGCTTTTTCAGTTGAACAGAGGGAAGGAAGCCAAAGGCATTTTTTATATCAAAGTACAGAGTCAGAGAGCTGAATCCTGATTGGTGAACTGATGGTGGTATGATTCTATTGTCCCAAATCATCTTTGGAAAACTGCAAAACCTACAATATGCTTATTCCTTGCACAATTACCTGGTGCCAGGCCCCAGAGACTGCTGGAACACAGAGGCTAATCAGATGGTTCTTATCTTTAAGGAGTTTATGAAATACATAACAGATTGGTATCCCATCATCCTGCCCTTCATCAACCCACCCTTGTATGATATGCCCACACAGTTCTAGATATCTTTTAGGAGGAAAAAATAGAACAACAGCAACAAGTTTGTGTTATGGTCATAATAGTAATGAATGACAACAACACACGACCAATAGCTGTTACTGAGTGCTCATTCCATGCTAGGCACTGTGCTAAGAGTTTCCTTTTATATGTCCTTTAGGGCTAGGAACTGGGATGAAGAGGCAGGTCACCATCTGAGACACAGAAATCCGCAGAGACCTGGAAGATAAAGAGACTGCATACTGGCTGCACCGTGAGTCAGCACCAGCATGGGAGACACTCAGGCATCCAAGGGACTCAAGCATCTGCAACCTGGCTCTGAGCCAAGGATACAGATAACGGGCTCTAAATTCCCAGTCCTGCACGATGGGCTCAAAACTAAAATCATTTATTATTTCTAAGAGGATGAAAATTTAAAAAAACTGAGTAATCCATCTACAAGGATTTATAAATGAACCAAATGTCCTTGCTGTGTTTGTTGTATTTAATATGTAAAAAGAAGAAGGTCAGTTGTGATTAGGGGCTTTCTACACAGAGTGCTGACATTCCATGTGCATTATGCCAGAGGCTGGCCAGACTGCACCGGTGCTGAGGGTGAGAGAAAGCTCTCATGGGGCCCCTTCTGCCTCCTGCCATAGGCCTGATCACACCCTGAGCTGATCCAAGGTGGGGGATCTACCCACCTGCTTCTCCCATGCATTTCTGTGTTTTAATATCTCTGCTTTCGCCTGTCAATGGTAGAACCTACTCTCAATTGTTAGGAAGTGATGGAGAGAGGTCTTTCTAAGTCAGTGTAGGATGATAGTAGCTGCTTGTATTTATCAGAAATTGGTGATGTGTGGTCTGCACAGATGAGAGCATACCCACATCCTACTCTCTTTAAAATATTATGTGGGTACCAGGCATGGTGGCACAGGCCTGTAATCCCAGTGACTTGGGAGGCTGAGGAAGGATTGCAAGATCACTCAGCAATTTAATGAAGCCCTAAGCAGCTAAGCAAGACCCTGTCTCAAAATAAAAATTAAAAAGGACTGGAGATGTGGCTCAGTGGTAACGTACCCCTGCATTCAATCACTACTACTACTACTACTACTACTAATGGCTTCTCAAGTTCTGGCTGGTGGCAGCCTCATCCCCATTCTTGCCTCACCTAACCTGTAGACAGACCAGAACCCTTTGGTGGAACTCCCCTGAACCACATCTTCAGGCTCCTTGATGGAAATCCCCTCCTCTCCCTCATAATTCCACATTGAACCCTCATTCATTCCATGGGCTAATTCAACCCCAGTTCTGGGAGCAGAGAGGTCCTCTAAGCTCAGAATTATCAGCACCAGCTGGGTGTGGCCCAGAGTGGGCACTTGGTTACTGGGTGTGAAACCAGCGTCTTACCCCAGGGCCCCAGGAATGAGTGCTGGTGGTGGAAGCAACAGAGTACTTATGAGTTTGACATTCCTTGCCACTTCAAGGCAGGCCACAGCCTTTGACCAGGGCACAGCTAGAGGACTTCTTTCCAGGACCCACCCCCTTTTCTGTCTGGGCTATTTGTCAAGTAAGCCTTGGGGTAACGCACAGGTTATGGGGTGAGGAGAGGGTGCTCACCGGCAGGATCAGAACGGGTCGCTGGCGCCCTCTGGTGGTGCACAGGAGGATTGGGGGGCCCTCTTGCTTGGGGAGGAGGCCTGGCTTCCCAACCTGCTGCCCATCCATGTGGGTGGAGGTTCCAGACTCACCTTCTCAAGGATGTCTGGGTCACTTGTCCAGGATCGCAGAGTAAGGACAGTGACCAAAGGGGACTGCCAGCTTGTGGTTCTACCCACATCCCAAGTGAGAAGTTACTGCTAAAGCTTTTCTCTAACTGGGCAGGCAGCTGATGGGGTCTCCTGGCTACAGGATTAAGTGTGACTCTGCTAGCCCTCTGAAGTCCCTGGTGCTACTCTGGTCCCTCCCAGGGGCATCCAGTGCTTTTTCTTATCAAAAACTGTGTCCCTAGCCAAGACCTCTGCTCCAGGCTGCTCAGGACGCTATCCTCTCTCAGGATGTTCTCTCTCCCTCCCAGTTCCCACCCTGCACTGACACATTCCTTCTTTAAAAGAGAAGGGAAACCCTGCCATATCCACACCATCTCTTTGTTGTCCTTTCCACAAACTCCTCGGAAATAAGTGTACACGGCCACTGCCTCTCGCTCCACCTTGAATGTGCTGTCCAGTCTTCTCCCTCCACCCAGACATTCCCAGCAAGTGTCTGGCCCATGTCAGCCAGCCTCCACCTGGGCAGGCCCAGCGTCCGAGACTGAGAGTCCTCTTCTTGCTCGACGTGCTGTCGGCCCTGACACAGTGGGCACTCGCTCCCTCTCTGCATCCCTCCTTCACTTATTTCAGCAACTGTCCTCTCCGGTTCCTTCTAGTCTCTTTGCTGGAGCCTCTCCCCCGCCCCCACTCTGAAGGTTGGCGTGGCCCAAGGCTTGGTCCTCATCTGCTTTGCCTTCTGCCAACCATCCCTGGCCGGACTGTCCCCAGCGGCATATGTCAACAAGCTGCACCCCCCATTCCAACCTAGCAGACTGTTCTATGTGGTTAGCTGGAGTGTTCTAGAAAATGCCGGTTGGGTCACGTTGGTTGGAGGTGTGGTTCAAATCTGTGTTTTTATTGATTTTCTGTGTAGTCATTCTGTCAGTTATTGAGAGAGGCGTGCTAAAGTCTGGTTGAAGTTGTGGATTTCTCTCTCCTTGTAGTGCAATCAGTTTTTGCTGTTTGGAAGCCCTGGTGGTAGGTACATACACATACAGCATGCTTGTGTCCCTTCCTGAATTGACACCTTTTTTATTTGAAATGTCTCTGTTTCTGGTAATATTGTTTGCCCTAAAATCTACTGTCTGATTTTAACACAGCCACTCTAAGTCTCTCTTGATTGGTGTTAGTGTGGTATCGCTTCTTCCATTCTTTCCTGTTAACCTCTCTGTGTCTTTTTATTTAAAGTAGGTTTCTGGGTGGCAGCATATTGTTAGTTTTTGCTTTAAAAAAAATCTGATGATTTCTGCCTTTGGGGGTTGATTATGGATATGGGTGGTGTTTAAGCCTACCATCTTGCTATTTGATTTCTATTTGTCCCATTTATTCTCTGTCCAGAATTGAACTCTGATCCCTCTCACAGCCCTGAAATCCTGCCTCTCCCACCTGCCCTGCTGCCTCATGAGCTCCAAACCCCACCTGCCTCCCAGGACTGCTGCCTGAGCTGCCTGCAGGCTGTTCTCCACAGCAGAGGGACTGGTCTTCATAAGGTAAGTCAAAGTCATCTCTTCTATGTCCAAATGCTCCTGTGGCTTCTCCTCTCACCTGGGGAAAACCACCCCAGAGCCTGCTCACCTCTGCGTTGTTCCTGGGTCACACCAGCCATGCCTTAGCCTAATGTTTTTCCTCTTTCTCTTTCTGGAATGTTTTTCTTCCAGGATCTTCGGTGGCTCACTCCTCCCACCTCAACCCGTGCTCAGGCCTCTGCTGAAGTCCCCCTGAGGGAGAGGAGGCCTGTTTGAACACCTTCTCCAAAATAGCACCCCCACCATGCCCCCCTTGCCTGGCTCTGTTTTTCTTCCCAGCTCCTTTCTTTGAAGTACACATACTTGGGTTTTTAGTTCATGATCTCTGTCCCGCAACTAGAACGCAGTTCTCCAGTGAGCGGCGTGCTCTTAGCCTGCACCAGCGCTGACGATGCCGTTCTGCTTGCCAGTCGTGTGAGTGCAAGAGCTATTTGGGGCATGAGTCAATGAACAGGGTACTTTCATCCCCAAGGCGAATTACAGGGTGAGTCTAAGAGAACAGAGCCTAATAAGATACACTCCTCGTGGGCTGTGGCTGTGGCTCAGCAGTAGAGCGCTTGCTTAGCACGCTCACGAGGCCCTGGGTTAGATCCTCAGCAGCACATAAAAATAAATAAATAAAAATAAATGTATTGCATCCATCTACAACTAAAAAATAAATATATATATATATATATAAAAAAGATAAGCTCCTTGGTGACCAAGCAAACACAGCAAAATTGATTTGTAGAAAACCCCCCCCCCATGGATTACTTCTGTGAAATTAAAGATGTGCACTAAGCACATTGACATCACGTACCCATCAGTTCCTGGTGGGATCCATCCCAGGCTCCCTAGTTTTTCTCCATCCATAGTTGGAATGGCAACCAGGATGCATTTCTTCAAGCCTTTGAAAAGAAGTGACACAAATACAAAGGTCTTGAGGGATATCTGGAGATTTGGGGGATGCCTACGATGGGTTGAATTGTATTCCTCCAAAAGACCTGAGCCCTGTATCTGTGAACGTGTCCTTATGTGGAAACAGGGTCCTTGCAGATGTCACTGAGTTGAGATCAGTCTGGATCAGGGTTAGCTCTACATTCAGTGACCAATATTCTTCTCAGGAGAGGGAAATATGGACCCAGATCTGTGAATACACACAGGATGAGCACCGTGAGCTTGGAGAGATGCATCTGTAAGCCAGGGTACACCAAGGGTGGCCGGGACCCAGGAGAGAGGCTTGGAGCAGATTCTCCCTCTGGACTCCTGTGGGAACCAACCCTGCAGACTTCTAGGCTCCAGACCTGGAGAAGAATCCATTTCTCATGTTTCAGCCGCGTGCTCTGGGGTGCTTTACTACAGCATCCCTAGGAAACCACCAGGGCTACATTCCAGGGGCAGCTCAGTACTTTGACCAGAGCGACAGTCCTACACCATGGGAACTGTCAAGCAGGGAACTGAAAGATCACGTGATGGGAGAGGACTCCATCTGCCAGGACATGGAGTTGTCTGGGATGTCCTGTGGCTGTGGGATAAACCACTGCGCTTCCAGACAGAGTGGGAAATCCGTCTGTCCTGCATTCCTCAAAAAACAGAATGGGTCGAAGGCCTGTGCGTTTGATGTGGCCCGGAGACGATGACTTTGGTGAGTCCCTCTGTGTGATGGCTGTGGCTGCTCTCAGGGCCTGCAGGCCTGTGCTTTTCTCTGGAAACTTGTCGGAGTCCAGGGAGTCTCAGGAGACGAACGGATGGTGAGGAGTCGGCGAAAGGCGGCGGAGAAACAACACAGACACAAGAGGGAAGGTGTTGCATCTGATTCTTTACTTGTGAAGTTAATCATATATACGTTTCATTTTGGGAGGCTCACAGTATTTTGTGGTTACAAAACAGGAATCATTATTCAAAGAAACAGAATTTTACGTAGCTACAATTAGATAAGAAGAATGTCTCTTGGCTTATGCATAAGCAAGCATTTTTACTTTCAGTTCGCATTTTGCTTTGAGCTGTTTCTGCTTAGTTAGCTTTTAATAATAGTTGGAAATGTCCCAGACTATTGGCCTATACCTTGACTATTCTTTCTTGACTTACTGACTAGAACCGGCGCCGCGGTTACGGCAAGTGGTTGACTTGTTATTAATTTTAATCAAACAAGAGTAAGAGCACAAACCATTGTGCACAGGAACAAGAACAAGTTGCCCAGTGCCAAGCACTAATCTGTCTTCTTAACATTAATTCTTCTTCTCTAGATTTTAATTTAATTTCTCAAAAACTTCCTTGACTGTTTTTCCTACAGGGGGTTTCTCATTAAACATTAACAATTTACATTCCACAGCTGAATCATTGCATTTAGAGCAAACAGATTTATTCTTTAGCAGTAGTTGCATTAATTGGGCAAGTCATGTTTTTTCCTTCATACTTAATGGTCATATGAGAAGTTACAATTACACTTATTAACAGAAGTGCAAAAACAAACCATCCCATTCCCTGAAACATGCTGTGCTCCTCCAGAGGATGGACACCATGTGCCATCCACCTCAGTAGGGCCTTGCCTTTGCCTGAATCAGGGGAGGGGCGCAGCAGACGCTGAACACAGTCTGGTCCTTGACTTGAGGACCTGCAATGTTAGCCTCCTCCCCTGGATGCCTCTGGCAAGTCGGCCCCCCCACCAAGCGTTCCCTACATCACCAGCTGAGGGATGCCCCTCTCTGGTCAGCTTCCTGGGACTTTCTGAATGGTAACTCATGGCTTTCTCAGTCACCAATCTGTCCCATGTGTTTGCATCAGCAATAAATGTCATGACCAGGTGGAGGTGTCTGACGTGATCTTTGCACTGTAGTCACAGAGCCAAGTGAGTAAACTCCAACACACGCCATCAAGGAACGCAAGGGTCATCACTGCAGTAGAGGAGGCTTGATGTGACAAGCAGCAATCTAGTCTTGGGGCTGCAACCATGTTCCCGTTAGATCTTCATCAAAGGTGAGCTGTGGCTCTGCTCTGGTCATCTTATTCTGAGGGCCAGGCTGGTTGAAACTGTTAGTTGTAGATGGACACAATATCTTTATTTTTATTCGTTTATTTTTTATGTGGTGCTGAGGATCGAACCCAGGGTCTCACCCATGCGAGGCAAGCGCTCTACAGCTGAGCCCCAGCCCCAGCCCAAGAGATTGTTGCCCTTTTATGGCAGAAGGAAAAGAGTGATGTGGAGAACCACCATTGGCCCTCAGGTTCATGCTTAAAAGTGCCATGTGTCACTTTGCATTGTTTTTTTTTTTTAAAGAGAGAGAGAGAGAGAATTTTTAATATTTATTTTTTAGTTTTCGGCGGACACAACATATTTGTTTGTATGTGGTGCTGAGGATGGAACCCGGGCTGCACGCATGCCAGGCGAGCGCGCTACCGCTTGAGCCACATCTCCAGCCCTTGCATTGGTTTTATTGGTCAAGGTAGGTCATGTTGCCAAGAATGATGCGAGTGAGAAGGGTGTGTTCTTCCCACAGGGAGAGGAAATGAAAAGCCTCAGTGACTCCACGGTCTGTGAGGTTCCCTGTGGGACTTTTAGGTTATGCTATATGTTTGAAAATCACTGCAGGGTCAGAAATTTTTGCGTACTAACTACTGGGTGAGAACTTTTTAAGTGTTCATTTTCCTTTTGAATCACCCTATGTAATAATGCCCTTGTTATGTGCTTACCGAGAATGCATGTGTCAAAATCAACTCAAGGCAGATCAGAGTAGGCACTAGAACAGAGACGCTGCACCTAATTGAAGAAAAAATACACCAGAATCTTCATCATGTCAGCTTAGGACCTGACTTCCTTGGCAAGACTCCTAAAATGCAAGAGGTAAAATCAAGAATCAATAAATGGGATGAATTCAAACTAAAAAGCTTCCTCTCAGCAAAGGAAACAATCAATAATGTAAAGAGAGAGCCTATAGAAGGGAGAAAAGTCTTTACCACATGCACCTCAGATAGACCACTAATCTCCAGGATATATAAAGAACTCAAAAAATTAACACCAAAAAACCCCCTCAGATAACCCAATCAATAAATGGGCTGATGAACAAAACAGACACTTCACAGAAGAAAAACTACAATTTCTCAACAAACATATGAAAAAATGTTTATTGGGGCTAGGGCTGGGGCTCAGCAGTAGCTCACTTGCCTAGCATGTGTGAGGCACTGGGTTCAATTCTCAGCACCGCATATAAATAAATAAAATAAAGGTCCATCAACAACTAAAAAATCATTTAAAAAATCGTTATCATCTCTAGTAATTAGAGAAATGCAAATCAAAACTACTCTAAGATTTCTTCTCACTCCAGTCAGAATGGCATTTATCAAGAATACAAGCAATAATAAGTGTTGATGGGGCTGTGGGGAAAAAGGCGCACTCATACATTGCTGGTGGGACTGCAAATTGGTGCAGCCACTATGCAAAGCAGTATAGAGATTCCTCAGAAACTTGGAAAGGAACCACCATTTGACCCATCTATCCACTCCTTGATTTATACCCAAAGGACTTAAAATCAGCAAACTACAGTAACTCAAACACATCAATGTTTATAGCAGCTCAGTTCACAATAGTTAAACTATGGCACCAACATTGATGCCTTCAACAAATGAATGGATAAAGAAAAAGTGGTACATACGCAATGGAATATTACTCAGCCTTAAAGAAGAATAAAATTATGGCACCTGCAGGTAAATGGATGGAACTAGAGAATATCATGCTAAGCGAAATAAGCCAGTCCCCCAAAACCAAAAGCTGAATGGTTTCTCTAATAAGTGGATGCTGATCCACAATGGGCAGGGGGTAGGGAGGAATGAAGGAACTTTGGTTTGTGCAGAGGGGAGGACGGTAGAATGAGACAGACAGTATTACCCCATGTACATGTATGATTATACCACTGGAGTGACTCTGCACCAAGTGGAGCCAGAGGAACGAGAAGTTGTGTACAGTGTGTCCAAATGCATTCTACTGTAAAAATAAACAAACAAAAAAACTTATGTCGATCTCCCATTTATGCTAGTGTGCGTGTTGTAATCATGTCATTCCATTCACTTTCCTGTAAATCCATGAAATTGGAAAGCAAAAACACTTGCTGTTTCCTTGAAAACAGTGGGGCGCTAAGGCAGGTACCTGGGAAGTGCTGGCGAGTCCCACAGCTAAAAGTCCTAGATCACGGATGCACAGCACAATGCTGCAGGCTTCTCCCCTGGAGCTCTTCAGTCTCACTCCACTTTACAGACCCAAGACTGAGAAAGCACCTGACATCTCGGTGTGTGGGTTGTGCGTGCAAGTGCTGTGGCATTCAGATTGGGGGATTCAGCTTGAAATAAAAGGGTTTGCTTCATATTTAAAAAAAGGCTGTTGGGTCATGTGGCCTTCAAGGGAGGAAACAAATCACTCCAGGTATCTCAAATAGAAAGGAATTTTTAAAAATATGGTGTTGGGTGTGGTGGCCATGCCTGTAGTCCCAGCAGCTCAGGAGGCTGAGGCAGGAGGATCTTGAGTTCAAAGCCAGTCTCAGCAAAAGAGAGGTGATTAGCAATTCAGTGAGACTCTATCTCTAAATAAAATACAAAATAGGGCTGGGATGTGGCTCAGTGGTGGAGTGCCCCTGGTTTCAAACCCCCCAAAAAATATAAGTAGAAAATATGGTGCTAGGGATTAAACTCCGGACCTTGTGGCACATGCCAAGCACATGCCTTGTCATGCAGCCATACCCTCAGCCCCGAGGAGTTTCACACAGGTCGGGTCCTAAGTGTGAAGATCCCTATGGTGGCTGCGATCCCCTCGCTGTCAGGGGACTGCTCCTGACCCCTGTGACCTGTTCCACATGATGAAACTATGCCCACTCACTGCCAGCCCACGCGCCTGCCTGAACCCTCTGTCCTCTGCTTAATTGGTGAAGCCTAATTTCCATCAAGCCCTAGCTATAAAAGAGACTGGGAAATCTAGGTCTTTTTAGTTTTCCAACCTCCCTGGAGAGAAAATGGGTGAAATGAAAGTTGAAAGATCCTCTGTTACAAATGGCAAATGAATTAATATTCTTTTATGTATTTAAATAAAAATGGTTTAAAGTAGCAAACAGCAATTTTTTATTCTCAGCTTTAACCAACATTTTGTTATTAATGATCAGGTCCAAATGCACCAGTGATAAGGCCTTACCAGAATTTCCAAATGTGCAAGAATCTGGGCTGAGAACTGGATGAGCCACGGGGAAGGGCACAGTGAGGGGAGGGAGGATTCCACTTGGGAGGCTGCTGGGAGAGCTTGCACTGCTGCTTAGTAAGAAGCCACTCAAAGCCACGCTGTCTTCCCCTTGCCACTGGTGAAGGACTCTTTTGGAACGGATGCCTGGGGCACCCTGTCTCCAGAGTGTCCCTTGCCTGGCTCCTTCTGTCAACTGTGTTTGTCTCACAGACACAGAAAGTACCTACTGTGCATCATGCTGGGAGCTGAAGCCCCACTGTGAAGCTCACGGTCTCATATCCCTTACTTCTAGAACAGGGCTCAGCACAAATCCGGGGCTAAATGAATATCTGCCAAATGAACAAATGGATGAGTGTACCTAACTGATAGAAAACCAAGTCTCAGAGAGCTCACAGACCTCCCTGAAATGGCTCCCCTGGGCTGAGGGCAGCCGAGACCCGCCGCGGCCAGACCTCCCCACACCCTCTGCTAGGGAAGGGTTCTGGGGGCTGGTCAGTTGTGCCTGGGGCAGTGTTTCAGGTACCCGAGGTCCTTGCCTGGAACGACTGTAAGAGCAAACATGCAAACCCGAGCCTCGTAAGCAGTCCTAAAAATTCGTGGGTGGTGGCAGCTTGCAAAATTGTGAAAATACTCAAACCTACTGAATTCACACTTTAAAATGGACAGTGAGTTTCACGTTATGTGAGTTTTGTCTCCATAAACATTGGATCTTGGCCTCACTTTTTTTTTTTTTTTTTTGTACCAGGGATTGAACTCAGGGACACTCAGCCACTGAGCCACATCCCAGCCCTATTTTGTATTTTATTTAGAGACAGGGTCTCAGTTCCTTAGCGCCTCATGGTTGCTGAGACTGGCTTTGAAGTTGAGATCCTCCTGCCCCAGCCTCCTGAGCCTCTGGGATTACAGGCTGAGCCACTGCGATTGACTTCACGTTGCTTTTTGACTTAGGGCTGGGGTTGTATTACAGTGTAGAGCACTTGCCTAGCATGTGCGAGGCCCTGGGTTCCAACTTCAGTACACAAAGAAAAAAAAGTTGTTTTTATAATGAACACATGGGGAGAAAAATAATTAGTGGAAACATTACAATTGGTCTATATGACTTTCAAACATCAAAACTACAATTGGGGGCTGGGGATGTGGCTCAAGCGGTAGCGTGCTTGCCTGGCATGCGTGCGGCCCGGGTTCGATCCCCGGCACCACATATAAACAAAGATGTTGTGTCCGCTGAAAACTAAAAAATAAATAAATATTAAAAAAAAAAAAAAACTACAATTGGGTACAAATGTATAGAGAAAAAAAATAATAAAATGCATATTTAGTGCATTTGGAACATTTAGGAACCTGAAAATTTTTTATGTCTTTGGACTAACCCTATCAGAGGAGATCACTGTGGAGTTGATGATCAGGTCCAAATGCACCAGTGATAAGGCCTTACCAGAATTTACCAGGTATTAGTTGGACCCATGCAAGGAGGGTCCCTAGGCCCCAGAGCCGGGCATGAAGCATTCCATACTTTTGCAGAGGCGTGGGTGTATTGAATACTGCAGATCTGGAGACTTGGAAGTGGTTAAGGTGGAAATTTTTACCCTGTGTGTCTTACCGCAGGTTTTTTTTTTTTTTTTTTTTAATATAAATGACTTAGGAGTAGCTGGAAGGGCGTTGGCCAAGGCCTCGCCCCTCCCGCAGAGCCAGGCCTCCCTGCCTCCCCTGAGCACTGAGCGCTCCTTCCTTCCTAAGTCCATCCGTCTGCTTCCCACGGCGACCCTTGGCACCTGCGGTGTCGTGGGAGGTCCCGAGCGCCTTTCCTGTGCAGTGTGTGGCTGGCGTCACCTTCATCAGCTCCTGCCTCAGCCCTGTCACGGCCGCCGTCCGCCGTCACCTGGCCTCCGGCCGCACGTGGCCTCGAGGAGTCGTGGAGGCCGCTCCACGTTCTCTCCCGGCGGTTTCCTCCAAGCGCTCCGCTCTCCGGGGTTGGAACTGCGCTTCCAGCAGCGTCGTCTTCCGGTTCCTGGCTGCGCTTTCGCCCTGGCGGCCAGGTCCCTCTTTCAATTAGGTGGTCTGTGCAGGGAGCGCTGCACACACCTGCGTCTGCAGGGCGGCGCTCGGACGACTTTGGAAGAGGTGACGTGGTGGATCCGGGATTAGGATGTGCAGCCGTCACTTACCACCTGGCGGTTTGTAGACTGGAGACTTAGCGACAAAGTTTGCACTTTATGTAATTACAACCTGGAGTCGGGCGCGGTGGGCACGCCCATCATCCAGACTAAAGGCTGCGGCAGGAGGATGGCAAGTTGAGGCCAGCCTCAGAAATTTATGTACTTACGTCTTAAAATAAAAAGGCTGGGGTACATCCCAGCAGGGGGATACACCTCAACTCTGATAGAGCCGCCCTGGTTCGATCCTCAGCACCCTCCGTTACAACCTACGGTGGTAACTGGTATTCGGACTGTGGGGGCACTGGTGGTATTGAGCGTGGTGGAACCATGCCCCGCAGGGACTGCCGAATCGGCTTATTTCTCCGCTGCTTTTTCTGGCTCTAGGACTGAAAGCACAAGGGGCCTATTAGCCTTTCAGACTTTGGTCCACCCTCTTAGAGAATAGGGCATACACGGAGGAGAAAGGGGAGAGCTGGATCTCCCATCTGCAGGCAATAAGAGCAGGAGATCACAGAGCGTCCCTGGACCTCAGGAAGATCCCCAGCCTGGGGTGAGGACAGGCAGGTGAGCGAGTCCCAGAGCCAGCTTAAGAGCAGAGCTGGGAGTCGGGGGCTGCACCAGGTGATGAGACTCCAGGCAGGCTGCCCACAGAGGTCCTTGTACCCATCCAGCCTGGGGCAGCAGGAAGGGAGAGCAGTGACTGGTGTGACGGATGACCAGTGGCCAGCAGGCTCTCCTGCAGGGCCCATCCCTGCTAGTCCCCAACAGGTCCTTGTCCTGTCTAGGGGTCGGATAGAACCCTGAAAGTGGCTCCTGTGATGTGGCAGCCCGTGGATTCGTCAGAAATTAGGCTGTCGTTTAAAAGAAAGAGCACTGTGCGGGCACTCCCACGTTGTTGGGCGGAGAATCCTGCCTGTCTCCCAGTGCCACCGGTAATCACACTGTCATCCCCACACACCAGCCTGTTCCCAAGCTTTACCCAACATACATAATGAAATGAGATAAGTTATTATCTCCACAGTTTGAGGTTGGGGGCGGGGCAGTTTGGAGGGAGTTTGCTAAAGGAAACTTGCAGAAGGTCTGGGACAGCAAGGCTGGAGAGGAGTTCAAACTCAGACTGTCTCTGGTGTCTTTGAGCCACAGGAACAAGGGCTGGGTTGTGCCCCTTTGTTTTCCCAGTGCCCAACAGGAAACCAAACATGGGAGATCCTTCAGCGCTCTGTTCCTGTGTCCCAAATGCATACCAGAGGCTGCTCACCAAGCTGCAGCTTTGAGGGCAGGCACTCAGGTCCTGCTGTCACTGAGCCCCTTGGGTGGCCAGGAAGGGAGGGGCTGCCTACTTCCAGCAGGCCGCTCTGCCATCTACTGGCTGATCTGTGTAACTGCAGGGCCTGACCCTTGATGCTCCTGGGACCCTGGTCCTCTAAGTCTTGCTTCAACCTGCCAGGACACACGTCCCCTTGTCCAGAGTATCCAAACTGTATATGCCATCGGCCCTTTAGTCACTTAGTAGCCTCCTAGGTGATCAGATCCACTGTTATGATGTTGCAGAGCTTGTATCAAGCAACACTTATTTTACATAGTAATTGCCCCCAAATACAAGAGTAGGGATGCTGGCAATTTAGATGTGCCAAAGAGAATCCATGAAGTGAAAGGTGAAAGGAAATAAAAAATGTATGCTGAAGTTGCAGAGATCTATGGTATATTACAATTTCTTACTGTGCCTAGTTTATAGATTCAACTTAATCATAGGTATATATAGAGAGGAAAAACTTAATGTATATGGTTTGGTTCCATCTACACTTTCAGGCATCCGTTGGGGGTCTTACAATATATCTCCTGTGGATAAGGAAGAGGCCACTGTAATGCCACAAGACCTTTCATCCAGGATGCCAAAGAGGCAGCAGAGACAAACTCCTGCATTCCCCTCATGAGCTAGGTTCAGAGAACTATATTGCTGGCCTGGCATGGTCAGATTTGTTCAAAAATCTGCTCAGAAGTTTAAACATACAGGTGTACACTTTGAAGAAAGAATTCCTACTTTACTTCAAAGGACATTCGCATTTTATGTATTTTTAAAGTTACTTTTATTTTTAAAAATTCTTATTTTTTCCTTTTAGTTATACATGACAGTAGAATGTATTTTGACATATCATATACATGGAATATGATTTCCCATTATTGTGGTTGTACATGATGTGGAGATACACTGGTTATATACTCATGTATTAACATAGGAAAATTATGTCCAATTCATTCTACTATTTTTTTTCATTTTCTCCACTGTCTAATCTGGTGAACCTCCACTCTTCCCTCCCCACCTCCTATTGTGTGTTAGCATCAGCGTGTCAGAGAGAAAATTTGGCCTTTTTTTTTTTTTCAGGATTGGCTTATTTCACTTAGCATGATAGTCTCCAGTTGCATCCATTTAACCCTTCTGGGTTGTGTCCTGCTCAGGGAAATAGCAGAGGCTTCCCAGGGCTGTCTGGGCAGGAGGCCCAAGACCACCTGGCAGTTGCAGAGCAGATGAATAGTTCCTAAGATGCAAAGGGGGCTGCAGAGCCAGCAAAGGGGAAGCTGCAGGTGGAGCAGAACTTGAGGGACTGAGGTGGCTCTACAGATGCCAGTGTTGGTGGGTGGGCTCCCAGGGGACTGACTCCCCACCTCCCACAATTTGACAGCCACAGCCACTGGAAATGAAGAGGGGACCTGGATAGACTGGAACTGAGCTTCTGTCCCTCTGAACTGGATGCCTGAAGCAGAAATGAAGTGGAGGGACCTTTATGAAGAGGAAGAAAGGCTTCCAGTTGGACCTGACATCCACCAGATGCTACCTTCAGAGTACGTCCAAAATGAGTGTCCCTTCTCTTCTTCACTGCTACCCGGGTGTCTGAGCCACCCCCACCTCTTCAACAGAAGATCTCGGTAGCCTCCTCACCAGCCTCACAGCTCCTGGGGGGCTTCCTAGAGTTCATTCTCAATAGCCAGAGAGTGCCTGTTAGCTGGCAGGGCTGGGCAGGGCAGCCAGGCTGAGAACCCTGCAGTGGTCTCTTGTTGCTGAGTCTCCCTGTGGCCACCTACTTCCTCTCCAACCATCTCCTACTACTCAAACCATGTTCATTCCACTGCAGGACGGCTCCTTTTACAGGGTCCTTGGCACACTGTGCCCTCTGTCTGTAAGTCTCTTCCCTCACTTCCTTCAAAGTCACCTTAGGCCTTCTCTGCTCCTTTTGCAAATATCCTCCCACTTCTTGGACCATTCCTACCCGACTCCCTAGCTTTATTTTTTCTCCTGCAGCAGGAACTTCTGACAGTATGGTGTGTGCTTTGCTGGGGATGGAACCTGTCGCATTGCACGACTAAACACTCAAGTCACTCCAGGTGAACTGGGCTGCATGAAATAACCAGAAACAGAGAAATATCTTTTTCTTTGGGTCCTGTGACGGCTCCTATGACCTTAAGGGTCCATGGAAAGAGAGGGAGAAGCACGTGCTGAACCCCTTTATTGGGAAAAAGCCAGTCAAATGAGGCAAGGGGTAGGATTACAAGGGAACAGGTGAGTGTAGCTCAACCTCTCTGGGTGCTGTCGCCGGAGTCACAAGTCATGGCACTACTGTGCCAGACCACAGTGATCTTTCAGATCCCCGTGGTGCAGCAGGAGTTAAAGGTGCGTGCATTTGGAGTGGCTCTCCACAGGAACCCAGGGCTTTGCCCATGCTAGTCAAACACTCTACCACTAAGCTATATCCCCAGCCCCATAGTATGGTTTTTGTTCCTTATCTCTAGACACTAGGAGTTAAATTCTATGAAGACAAAGATTTTTGCCTTTTTACAAGTGGACAGTCATTTCTCTTCAGGCCTTTGCATTTCTCATCTCCCTTCTTCCATTTATGGTTTCCTGGTTCCTCACCCTCTGCTTCTCCTCTTTTGCTGGCCCTGCCCTGAGACTCTCTTGCGTCTGGTGCAAGGAACTTAAGGGACCAGCAGCTCTATGGCTGTAGGGAGAGGAGCCCGGGAGGCACAGGCAACATCTTCTAGGGTCACCATCTTGGGCAGGAAGCAGCGAGAAGGGATGTCATCGGGGTTTGGATGTCCACCCTCACCTCTCAAGGTACAAGAGCTTCATGGCCGGGTGGTTACAGTTTATGGGCCAAGTAAGGGTTATAGCCCAGGCGCCGGAGTCTGTGGCTTAGGCAAATCCTTCCAGGACCATGGCCTCACAGCCACTTCGGAACCCTCAGGGCTGCTGTGGAAATAACAGGATGGTTAACCCAGGGAGTGCTGGCCTGCCACATGCCCACCATCCCGCACAACGGGTGGCTCATGCCAGCCCAGGACACGGGGCTCTGCTCTGCTCAACAACCCGACTCTGGTCGGCCTTCTGAGCGTTTGGAGTGGGGTGTCCACTTCCGAGGCCGCCGTGCCCCACACGCAGCGGATCACTGCCTCCGAACATAAGCCTTACACTTGTGCCACTGCAGGACAGGGAAAGAGGGACCTGACCCCAGTCACTGATGGGGCCATTAACTGGGCTCTTGGCAACAGAACGTGTTTGCAGGGGGCCGCGTCCCCGCACGGTGCCCGAGGCCTGCCTTCGCCGCTCCGCACCTGTGTTGGGGTAAAAGGCCAGGGACCTGGTCACGTGCTCCGTCGGACCAATCCCCGCAACCGGAAAGGGGAAGAGTAGTGATTGGCCCACCCGGCGCGGGGGCGGAACCCCGGTCAGAGGGGAGGAAGCGGGTTCTCCCGGCCTTCGATTCCGCGGTCCTCGTGATTCTCGTTCTCTCGCGAGACTCGGCGCCGGGAGGGGCCTCTAAGCTCCACAATGCACTGGGCGGGGCGGGGCAGTCCCGTATTGGCGCGGCCCGGAGCGTGGCGCGCGTCATTTTTCCGAGCCCGGTCTGGGAGCCGCGCTCTTCCCCTGCTGTTCAGCGCTCGCCTCCCGAGCCTTGCTCAGTCGCCTCCCCGCCCCCGCACCCCAGGCGCCGTCCCCTCGACCGCGCGGGAAGCCTGCGGCTCTTTGCTCTCTGTCACCGCCTGGCTTGCGCTCCGAGCGCCCATTGTTTTCGCTCCTGCCGGGCGGGGGATGTAAGCCGAGGCCCGCAGTGGGCTTCTGGGGGCTGCGACCCCCTTCAGTTACATGCAACGTATGAGCCGCCTAGGTGCTTCCGTCAGCCCGAGGCGCCGGGACCCTCCCAGTGCCTCTCGGTCCACCTGCGTGCCGTCAGCACAGGGCCTGCCCCAGGTGCCCACAAAACGGAAGCGAACCTGGTGTTTCGTTCCCGGTGCTCTCGACCCGCCGGCTCCTGGGGGCGCGCCCTCCTCCCGGGATCGTGCCCCTCGCTCCGCCCCACAGTTTCCCGTCCTTTCTTTGATCAGACCCCGATTGAGCCTGTGAGGAGGGGGCGGAGGACCCGGCAGCCGGGCACTGTATCCGCCAAGCTCAAGGTCTGGCAGGGGAGGAGCTGTGAGCCCCCGAGGGGCCTGCACCGGAGAATCTGAGGCTCAGGGATGGGCCGCCAGTGGCCAGGTCAGGGCTCGAGGCAGGCTAGGGTTGGAAGGCTCATGGGTGAGATTGGGCCTGTCTCCCGAGGAAAGTGGAGAAGGCCTTGAGGCCAGGGTTCCGGGTCCTTAAGGATGATAGGCAGGATTGCGCAAGATTAGAAGGGTGTTTTTGGAAGATCCCTCTGGCTGCGGCGGTGGGTCACGTGAGAAGGAGTGCAGACTGGAGGGAGCTGGGCAGGCAGAGGTGGGAAAAGAAACAGCCTGAGCGAAGGGTGGGTGTAGAATTGTGAACGTGTGCGGAGCCTTTCTGGCTTCAGTTCTCCCATCTGTACAGTGTGGGACTTGGAATCCTTCTTTAAATTCCTCCCACCTCTGATTCAAATTTAGCAACATTTCAAGCAGGTGAGAATTTACAGGCGGTTAAAATGGGAAAGATAATGGGAAGGAAGACGCATGAGAGCTTGAGAGAGGGAGGAAACAGACACCATGGGGTCATTGGGGAGAGGTTTTTGAGGGGCGAGCAGGACCCAGAGCCTCCAGGTCAAGATAACTATTCTCAGATTCAGACCCCTGAGTGTTGTGCTGTGTGACCTTGTACAGTTCACCCAGTTCTGTGTCTCAGATTCTGCCTCTGTAACATGGGTAGTAGTGATCCACATCAGTACTAAGTGACATTCTTACTAGCACAATACTACTGCCAAGTGACACTGGGTTTTAGGCGGTGTCATAGGGAACTGCAACTCAGAAACAAACAAACAAACAAACAAACATGCATTTACTTAAATCTTCTTTGGGAAAACACACAGACTGGTAATATGGTTTGCCTCTAAAGAGTAGAACTGAATGTTTGGTGTATTTGTTGGGGTTTGGGGGACAGAGAGAATTGGAAAGAAAATTTTTTTTACTTTTTTAAAAAAAATTATCAGCAACATGGCAATTCAGAGATGTCGGGACTTCTTGTTTTTACACTTATGTATCTTATCAAATTTAGTAAGATTGGAAGGCAGATGGAGTATTAACAAGGACATGTTCTAGGTTCCTGGGCACCTGAGTTTTATTGAGAGCGTGACACCAAAACATACTGGGTTTTAGCTTCTTCATATGTTTGGGACAAGTGAAGGTTTTATAGAGGGCAAAACAATATACTAGGACAGTGTGGGCCTGTGTCTGGACTCACTGATGAGCTGGTGTGAGTACATAACCCCTCAGAATCTCAGCAAGACCAATTCAGTAGTGAGGGATGTGATGAGAGAAGACAAGTGCGTGCACAGGGCCAGCCCAGCATGTTGCAGGGGCCCAGTGAAGGGGACTGCCATTCTTTCTCTGCTTTTGGCTTTGAAGAGCCTATCATGGTTACGCTGGAGATATGTGACCAACTGATGTTTACCTCTTTCATCTCAAGTTTAATTTCATTCAGAGGTTTTTAGAACGTGTAAAACTGGGGAAATGTCACAAAGCTGAGAGTTCAGTTGACAGCAGTTAGCAGAGTGGAGGATTTTTACAGGCATTCCACACGCTGCTGGGTGGTGGGAGAATCGGTGGCGGCCTCTTACCCCCTGGTGAGTTACCAAGTGCACCTCTGAAGCAGTGTGATTGCCTGCAAGGTGAGCAGGACCTGGTGGCTCAGGGTGGTAAGATGAGGCACTGGGCATGATCTCCTAGAAAGGCAGTGCATGCTGTGCAGGGCATTTAGAGAGTGCCCTGGGATACGCATCTAATTTTGTGCACACACTAACACGCAGTATATGATATATGCTAGATCTTAGGTGACTGTATGTGTTTGCATGAGATGTTTCTAATATGCTGTTTTGTAATTTGCTTGTTTATCTTGGATAACTGTGGGAGCCACTCTGAATGATCATGCCTTCCAGTCCTGAAGCCCAAGGCTCTGACCAATCACTACATTTTGTGGTGACTCAGGCATTGTCCCAGCTTGGATAGCAAGGCATGGCTTCAGGTGTAGGTATCACTCACAGGGGTTGAGCTATACTCACCTACTCCTTTGTAATCCTACCCCTTGCCTCATTTGAATGGCTTCTCCACAATAAAAGGGTTCAGCATGTGCTCCCGTATTTCTCTTTCTACAGACCCCTAAGGTCAGAGGAGCCAACACAGGACCCAAAGTAAAAGGTAGTTCTCTCTCTCTCTGTGGTTATTTTGTGCCAGCCCAGTTCACCTGAAGTGACCTTAAGTGTTTAGTCATGGAACACGACAGATAACTTTCCATATGAGCCTGTACAGTTTTAACACATTCTCCAATTAAAAAAAAAAAAGCATTTTAGTGGACAAATACAGTCATAAACAGGCTAATTTTAAACCTACAGGTCAATGAATTTTCATATATGTATGCACCCATAATGCATTTTCCCAACAGATGAAAATTTAATAATAATGATGATAATAATAGCTAATGCACCAGGCACTACTTTCAGTGCTTTTCACAAAGCAGTTCTTTAAAAGGAACATTCTCTCCACCTCAAAGATAATAGAGCTGGACATTAAAGTGGTGGAAACATTGTATTCAATAATTACTGGCAGTAAGGGAAAGAGAGGGTTTCATTCTAACTTGTGCAGAGGTGACAAAGGATAATGTGTGTGTGTAGGGAAGGAATGGGTTCCAGTGAAACATTACAAAGGGGCACCGTAGTCACAGTGATTCAGCCATCTGTGTTTGTCTGCTTGCAATTATGGAAGTTAGAGACTTATTTTTTGGGGGGTGGGGAGTGCTGGGGATTGAACTCAGGGTACTCAACCACTGAGTCACATCCCCAGCCCTATTTTGTATTTTATTTAGAGAGAGGGTGTCACTGAGTTGCTTAGCGCCTTGCTCTTTGCTGAGGCTGGCTTTGAACTTGTGATCCTCCTGCCTCAGTCTCCCAAGCCTCTGGGATTACAGGTATGTGCCACCATGCCTTGCCAAGTGATATAAGGAATACCTTTCAGGTCCTTGAGAAAGACACTCTTTGAGTTGTAGAGACACATATGCATCTCAAAGAGACAGAAGGATTCTTATTTGTAAGGCATTTTTGGTAAATGCTCTGAGGTCAAGGGCCTATCATTTTTTGATTTGGTTCATTTTCTGTTGCTATGACTGCATATCACAGACTGGGTAATTTATGAAGACTAGAAGATTCTTTAGCTCATAGGTGTGGAAGCTGGATGTCCCAGGGCATGGTGCCAACATCTGTGAGCCTGTGGTAAAGGCCTCCTGCTGGGTCATGCCTTGGTGGATGGGGAGACCTAGCAAGCACATCCTGCAAGAGAGCTCCTGCTCACACAGCAGACGCGCCTGTGGCAGCCTGTTAACCACAGGTGAATTTATCCGATCATGAGGAAGGACTCTGTCCCTGCTTCTCAACACTACTGCATTGGGGACCAGGTTCTCAACACGTGAAATTTGGGGGACACATTCAAACCATAGCATCTGGTCTTGGCTAAAACAGTTCTGGCATCATTAGTCTTTGTCAGGCAGGCGTTTTCCTGGGGGACAGGGATCATCTTGAGGGACATATACTAAGCTTGGTCATCTCTTAGTGCAGGGATGTGGAAGGAGTCAATGTGTCAGAGCTCTGCAGTTCTCAGGATGCACTTTTATTTATTTATTGATGGGCTCCTGTGGTTTCTATTGCTTTTTGGAAAATGGTGCTGTAGTTAGCCCTCTGGGCTCACTGCTGAAATCCCTAGAAGCAGGACTGCAGGCTCACAAGTATGTTATCTTTTCCTTCCTTTCTTTTCCCCTTCCTTCCTTCCTTCCTTCCTTCCTTCCTTCCTTCCTTCCTTCCTTCCTTCCTTCCTTCCTCCCTCCCTCCCTCCCTTTTTCTTTTCTTTCTTTTTAAATACAGGGAAATGAACCCAGGATGCTTAACCACCAAGCCACATCCCTAGCCATTTTTTATATTATTTAGAGAGAGGTTCTCGCTGAGTTTCTTAGGGCTTCACTAAATTGCTGAGGCTGGCTTTGAATTCACAATCCTCCTGCCTCAGTCTCCTGAGCTGCTGGGATGACAGGTGTGTACCACCACGCCTAGCGTGTATGACGTCTTAAGTAGGTTCAACACCCGATATTTTAAACATTACCTAGTTGCCCTTCCTAAGGGTGGCATGAATCATCTCCTCCCATGCTCCACACTGCCACTGGAATTTCTTTCCCTCTGAGGCCTCTGTTTTCTCATGTGAAATGGGGATAGGACAGTTACACTCATCACAGCAGGTGTCGCCCGGAGCCTCCTCCGCCTGCTGTGAACAAATCTCTCCAATTCTTCAGCACCCACATGGAAGGAATTGCCACTTCCATTTCAGGAAGATGAGGACAGAGCTGGCCTTCTAGAGCCCACCTTGGAGGTCAGACTGGAGTGCTGCAGGGATGCCATGTCCCCAGCACTGGGGACTTCTGCTTTTACAGCTTTAGTGAGCAGCATGGTAATGATCTGTTTGAGGTCTCTTCACAGTTCAGAGGAATGCTCTCCTGGGGCCGGTTGGAGGAAAGGGGGCTTTCCCTTCCATTAGGGAGTGAAGTGCTAGCTACCTCCTGGATTCTGGGCTATCGCCCAGTGCCACTCTGAAAGGGCAGGTGCAAGTGGAACGGGCCCCTAACCAGGCTTAAGGAAAACCTCTCCTGGGGAAGGGCATGCCGGTGGGGAGAAATTCCAGTCCTCGCCCCTGCCCCACATGGCCGGAGAGAAGTTCATCATTGGTTTCACTTTAAATTTCGTGACCATGGCCTCCTTTGTACATTTATAATTGCTGAGAAACCCCACATGGGTATGCTTGCCTGAAGGATCTCCTCCTTGCCCCTTTATAAATTCTCCCTCCTTTTACAATGGATCTCCTGCCCAGGCTGACCCCTCCTCCCCTCTCCTCCCGCACTTGCCAAGGCCATGTGTTTTGTTTGCTAAACGCCACAGTGTCTACTAAGATGCCCAGACAGTCCGTGTGCACGTTGTCACCCTCCAGTGTGCATCCAAACTCCGCCATGGCATGGAGATTTCTTTCCCAGGTCAGTAGTGACCTTGTCGTGTAACCCAGCAGTCCTGACTCTGCCTGGTTGCACTTGGCCTCTGGGCCCCCCTCGCTGCCTCCTCACTCCCTGGGCTTTGAAACATGTGTTCTAGCTTCAGTGACACAAGTCCCCTGATTTTCCTCCTACCTCTTGACCATATACCCCCGCACCCAAATTCCCCTTGGGGACATTTTGTCCTATTTCCTTCCCCACTTTTTCTCACATAGGTGTATTTATACTGCCTTCTTTAATACCCAAGACCCCTGAACTCACTGACCGTAGTCCAGAATCTAGGGACCTCCTCCCATCAGG